CAGTCGGTAAAGTGCCTGCTGAACGGAGTAAGCCTGAGAACCTAAACTCAGTCACCAGAGCCCACATATAAATCTGGTGAATAGTTAAAAGCAAAAATTAGTCTCTCCAACGAGTCTCAGTGGGTAAGACAGCCGTCCTTCAGGATCTCATATTACTTTGCTTATATACTTTGGTTTCTGATTGTGCATGTGTGTGTGTGAGGGGCGGGGTTTCTTAGGGGGTTGTTTGCTTGTTTTTAAAGAAAGAGGGAAACAAGAAAGGGCATGGAATTGGGTGGATAAGAAGTTGCAAAGGGGCTGGGAGAGTTGAGGAAAGGGGAAAGTGTGATCAAAATATATTATATAAAAAAGACTTTTAAAAAATTTAAGGTTAAAAACATCTCTGGGGAGACAGTCAGGCTGATCCCTAGGTTTGCTGGCCAGCCAGCTCAGCCTACTCATTGAGTTCTAGGTCAGTAACAAAGCCCTGTCTGAAATGAAGGTGACCTACTCTTGAAAATGATAGTCAAGGTTGGCCTATGACCTTCACACAAACACACAGACACACACAAGCCTTTGGGTTGGATGATTTTACCCAATTACAGGTTAACCTGCATGCCAAGGGAGTCCAGCCTAAGCTGTGATGGTCATTAGATTATGTCTATAAATGCATTTTCTACTTCCAATATTTTCAGCTCACCATGAGTTTATCAGGCTGCAACCCCATCACAAAATGAGAGGCATCTGCATGACTTGGAGTATTAAACTCAATGTACTCTCCCTCAACTATTTTCTCCGTTCTCTGCAGAATCCATTCACCGCCTCAGCATGGATAGTCCTACCCATCCACTCACCGACTAGCTCAGACATGGAAGCCCAGAAAGTTCCAAGCCTACAGCATCAGCGATACTGACCTGTTGGTGTCACTCAGGTGTCTCCCACCAGCGCTCTCCTCCGACTGCTCTCAAAGTCCCCTTACTCCACCAGCCAACCCTTCGCTCAGTGTCACGCCGCCCCGCCACACCAAAGCCCCTGCTGTCAGGTGCAGGCTCTCTTCCTCTACTCTTTTTCCTCTCCATTTCTAGGAAGTTGTCTTAGCTGCCAGTGACACTGTATCATTCTTCAGGGCTGGGTCTTATTCTTCTTTCTATTTATTATTCTTGGTGACATACAAGAGAAGAGTAAACACACTGTACTAGTTCACCAAATTAGTGTTTAATAAATTATTAAGCAAAAAAATGTGGAGCCACCCCAAAATTATTGTTTCTATCTCTGCTTAGAGACTTCAAACATAAACACACTGTCTAGAAATAAAACTTCTGGACCTTTCCAGTTTCGCCACTGCTACCCATAAAGTATGTCTGGTAGGAAAAGTAAACTAGCCTTTGAAAGCCCTAAACAGCTCACCGGTCTTACAAAGGGGTCAAGTTGCCTTCCCTAAGGAAATGTAAATGTAGCACTCACCCTTGCTACCTGAACACTATTAACACACCCAACTCACGGCAAGTGCCCACACAGCCCTAGGGTTCGTGGGCTGAATTTCATTCCTGCCTACATGAGAAAAACTGAGTTTCTTACTTTTTCCTCGATTTAAATTTTAGCTAGTAACTTGCAAGGCGCTCAATGATAAACAGGCATATTATCATGCAAAGCGGTATTTATGAGACAACTACAATGTATCTTCTCTAACATTGGAGAGCACTGCTGCACACGAGGGAGCCTGCGAAAGCAAGCTGTCAATCTCCTGTGAACTATGGATGGGACAGAGTGCAGACCGTTCTTCCCACAGAAAGGCCTTCTAGAAAGAATCTCATAAACTATGCTAAGTGAAGACACGTAAAAACAAAGACATATAGGAAATGGTCTAACATGCCCACACGCTATCTCTGTAAAAGAAGACAAAGACCTTGGCTCTTTTCACGTGACCAGAGATGGTAAGACACAGCACCAGGTGTATTCCTTACTGGACATGCATTTGCTTAAGTGAACTAGAAAAGTCACCTCATGTTTGCTTGCATTAATGATAAAAATAAAAAGTGCTTTGTTTGCACTGCTCTCAAGTTCAAATGCTTAGCCCTCCACAGATCTTTCACATTTCCTTCCATCCTGGAGACCGAGCCTCACTGGCCTGGGCCGGACAGTAACACATCTGTTCAAATTCCTGTAACATTTACTCCCTGGGAAGGTACAGAGAAGAGGAAAAAGAAACGGCCTGTGGTGGCGGTGGCGGTGGCGGTGGTAGCGATGCACAGTGGACAAGATGAACATCCAGACACACTCCAGGGCCTCGCAGGGAGTGGGGGAGTTGAGTAGATTTGTGGGAGAGGAGAACGAGCACAGAGATAAAAGTCACTGGGCCTGCCTGCTGCTCCCTGCAGGAAGCGGCAGCACTCTGAAGGACACCAGAACAATGCAGCCTCATTCGAAGAGGTAACAAGAGAGCAGAAATCTAAAGTTTTTAATACAAAACGCCCCAACATTGACAAGTGTTTCAGCTGCTTTTGTCTGGATGAGAAGGACGGCACGGGAGGAGGAAAGCTTGCTTTAGCTTACAGTTGGGGCTACAGTCTGTCCACAGCGAGACAGCAGCTTGGGCGGGACTGTGGGAATGGGAGGGAGCCTGTTCACATTCTTACAATTCAGGAAACAGAGAGCCTCAAATTCCACCCCTGGTAACCTACCTTCTCTAGCTAAGTCCCACCTCCTAAAGGCTGCATAGTCTCCCCAGACAGTGCCATCAGCAGGGGATGAAGTGTTCAAACACACACACACACCTCTGAGAGATATTTTATATTCAAATCATAACAACAATTGGTTCAAATTATGAAGCAAACAAAAACTCTTTGCCAATCAAATATAGCATGAAGGGCTTGCCAATGTGTGATTTCTAGCATATATCGTACCAAGCTGGAGGATATTCAAATGATCTGTAAAGCAATAAAATATTCCTAAAACCAAATCCCTGCTTCACAACTTTTAGTCACCAGGTTTCCGTGTTAATCTCCTTCATCTGAATAAAGGCATGAGGATAAAGGCTCAGGTGTAAGCTGGGAAGAGGCTGACGGTGCTCAGTGTACAAGAATGAGAACCCGAGTCTCAATCTGCAGCACCCACGGGAAAACCAGGCATGGTGGAGAGTGATTGCAGCTCCAGCGGGAAAGGCAAACCCGGGGGATCGTCAGAGCCCACACAACAGTCGCTCTAGCCAATCAGTGAGCTCCAGTTTCAGTGAGAAACCCTGCCTCAAGAGTAAGGTGGAGAGCAACAGAGGAAGAAACCCAGCCCTGATGTCAGGCCTCCATGCATGCACATACTCAAAGGAAATGGAAAAAAAAAAAAACCTCATTTTTATTAGACTCAATTATAATAAACGACATTAGAGACAGGTATCGTTTTAAAATTCATGCTGGCATCACTAAAGGTGATGGAAAAATTAAAGTGTTTGTAATAAGCAAAGAACACTTTAAGGCAGGGCGGTGGTGGCGCACGCCTTTAATCCCAGCACAAAGGAGGCAAAGGCAGGTGGATCTCATTGAGTTCAAGGCCAGCCTGATCTAACATGAGTTCCAGGACAGCCAGAGCTGTTACACAGAGAAACCCTGTCTCACAAGCAAAAATAAATAAATACATACATACATACACACATACAAGAATTCAAAATTTGTTGAGACAGAATGAAACAGTTACTCTGCATCAGGAGATGATGGGCTGGGCTATGTGGGGAAGGCTGGATGAACATTCGCTACTGCAGGAGAACTGGGTGAACAGTCAACCAAAGACCAGGAAAGCAGAAACCTGCTGGAGAGAGTTGAAGTAGGGCTGGTGAAACAGCGCCCCCTACTGGCAACTGAGCTGATGCACACGATTAGTTTTATAATGCAAATCTCACAGGATCTTCAGTAAAATCTACATCTAATTTTTCTTAATGGAGCAGGGAAGGGAATGAAGCGCTGTTCCCCCATTCGAGACTGGTCTACCATTTACACAGGAGACTGGAAGCACCGGACAAAATCCACACAACGCCAAAGGATCTGCATTTCCACTGTGGGCAAGCGTCTGGACCTCAACAAAACCTGACAGACGCATGAAAATCCTCCCCAAAACAGGACTGAAGAGTTTCAGAATACAGAACTCAAACTACATCTGAACCTGCTGCTCCAGATGATGTTCGGTACGTAAATGATGACTCCCCTAAAGATCTGTAATGAGGATTTCCAAATAAAATCACCTCTTGAACATTGTTTAAATCTTTCAAAAAGCTTCAGTACATAAGGATTCTTTCAGGATGTAGGTAGGTCCAATGCAGGTTTCTTTTCCCCTGAACTGATGTGGAGAGAAACTACTTTGGCTGAAGAACTTGAAATATTTACAAACATTTGTCTTCTCGCTTCCACGCTACTCTAAAAGCACGTAAATCAGGCTGTCTTCAAGTTCAGCTCTTTGCAACGCTGTCTCACTGGGAACAGTACATTTAGGTCCAACGGCGCAGGCTCCTGTGAAATGCACCCCCTCCAGAAGGTGGGAGACGGCCTGACGGTTAAGATGACAGCATGCATGCGCGAGCGGAGCTACCTGGGCGTGGACCTCTGTTTTCTCTCCAAGCATGTTTTCTTTACGGAAGGACCAAAGTCTTGAACAGCACAGGACACCCACACTTTGCCTTCCTGTAGTGAAGCTGCCAGCGTCGGGTCACTACCCATGACGGTAGCCAGATACACTCTGGCGAGCAGTGTGGCCATGTGGCTCTCCCTAAAGAAAGTGCTTTCCTTGTCTTCATAAAATAAAATTAAACTGGAACAAATTTTCAGCCAACATTTCAAGACCTCATTATGATCAGGTTTAAGGCATAGAAGTATAGAAGCTGAGAAAAGGCAATTCTCTACACATTTTCTACTGTGCCACTATAGTAAACAGGAAAAACACAGAACTCTGGAAAACAAATAACCTGAAATATTTATTTTAAAAAGTGACATTAAGAAATCAAAACTAAAGATGTTAATGATGTTTTCAATGGCACTTACCAACCACAATGGAAGCCTCACAGTGGTAATAACCATTACTTTGCTTTTTCTTCAGCATGGAGCAGAGATCTACCCGATACAGAATTTCTTCTCCAAATCTGTGGTTGACGAATTGTTCATACAATTCGGGCTCTATTTTTTTCACTCCCTTGAAATGACAAAACAAAATCACATCAATCAATCATATCACTGGGGCAGCCAGTTCATATTTCTATCAGTCTCTCAGAACCCGAGATTACATTTTGGATTCAGCACTGCCCTCTGGCACCTGAAAATAGATGCCGCAGAATTTCTGACAAGTTGTTTTTAAAGTCTCCACGCCTGGGATGGGATGATTTAGAGCCATCAATTAAGAGTGTAATTGGATGTGGCAGCACTTGGGACCTCACACATCTTTAAGTTTCAGAACTAAGAACGTGTATGATGATTCGGTCCCCAGAGCGATCGTCTGCAACGACAGGGGTGTGAGTGAATGGTTTTAGAATGATGTGTGTCTTGGAATTTCTGGTGAGGACGAGGCTCTAATAACGCTAACTCGTATTACTTAAGCGCTTACATAAAAACCACCTGACAACAAACCTGATTTGAGCTGGGACAGTGAAGCCAGCAGCTTTTCTGCATCTTCCTCCACTGCCTTTCCTTGTCAAAACAGCAGAGGCAGCTGGATGCTGAACTGTAGCGAGGGGCTCTGGGAACTACCGTAGTCTCCCAGCAGGAAATAAGAGCCCCTCCCCATCATTATGCAGTGTCTGAGACCTCAGCCTGACTCCCAAGACAGTCTACGAGTTTCACTTTTTCACTAGTTTTTACTTTTTAACTAATAAAAATTTCCCCGTTTCGTTTGCTAATAAAAATTTATAGAAAATTTTAAGTCAGGACAGAAAATCGTGTGATTTTTGTTCTGTTTCATTTTTCCTATGCAAATGAAAATGACATTTTAATTTTCACCTGAATATGGTTTTATCCTCAGTACTTCTTGAGACCCAGTTCCATTATTTCAGCAAGTATGCCAAGTCAAAAAAAAAAAACACACACACACACACAGATCTGCCAAATGCTTTTGTCTCTGTACTCCACTGTATCATGTGATTTACCCAATAGGCTGCTGCCCATATTTAAAACATGCTTGAGTTCTGTGTCTAGACGGGCCTCCTGTGCTTAACTGCTCCCCCAGACACACACTAACAGCTCTTCCCTACTCAGTTTGATAATTCTATTCTACCTGCACAGGCTGAAAACTTTGGGGGATATCCTTGATAAAATCCAATACCCTTAGTTTTGGTGGGACACTCTGTTGATATGCATTAAGTCCATCTGGTTTGCGATATGATTTAACTCCAGACTTTCTCTGGTTAGATTTTTTTTTTCCAATTGATCTATGTAGAGGTTAGAGTCAGGTAATGAAGTTACTCACTATCACTGGGTTGGGATAATGTGTGGCTTTAAAGCTAACAGTGGTTTTGTTTGTTTGTTTATAAGTAAAACTGGGTGTCCTTATTTCTAAAAAAGTTATGAGTAAATGAAACCAATTTTATGTCCTAAAAGCTTTTTTCTGTGTGTGTATGCATTCATGTGTGCATGTGTTTGTGTGTGCATGCGTGTGTGTGCACATGTGTGTGTGCACAAGTGTGTGTGTGTGCATGGGTGCTTAGGAAGGTGGAAGTGGAGGGGCAATGGTTCCCTTACAGACAACAGCAGACAATGACAACTGAGCACAGGTTCTTCAATTCCAGGACCACGATGTCATCATTGAACAACTATTAAGTTCTCATTTTCATTTTTATAAAGTGTAATTTTATTATTTTATTTACATTTATTCATTTATTTGGAGGGGGCACACCCCAGTGTACATTTGGAGGTCAGAGGGCAGCTCTTAGGAGTTTGTCTTCTCCTTCCCCATGTGGGTCTGGGAACTAAACTCAAGTTGTTGAAAACATCTTTAGCCACCAAATCATCTCACTGACCCAAAAGAAATAAGGAAAATATAAAAGTGCCCATAAACTAATTTTCTTGGCTAATCAATTTCACAAGTGACAAGTACCAATTATTTTGCAAAAATTCTTCACAGCTGACTTCTGATGTACATTCTAAGGTGTTAGGTTTTATCAGCAAGTAACATGGAATTAATTCCATAACTCATAACTTATACAGAAAGTACAGTTCAAAATGCATGATGCCTTGGGAGAGCTTGAAGCTCTATCTCCATCAAAATAAAAAATTTAATAAAGAATCTAGAAAGAGATGAGAATATGTTTAATCTTATATATATATATCAGAACATTAGCATAATCTTTGTTCTCCAGAGACTGTATTGGGTGACCTTTCTTTTCTAATAAACACGGAATTCATCTCACCATCTAGCGCAAGCAGATGATGTTTTCTTTTATAATAAATGGACTGGTCTGTGCCGCATAAGAAGACCCTATCTCAAAAACTAAATAAGCAAGGAAAGGAAAGTCATCATTCTGAGAAAATTGGTGACTATATCAAAATCAGGCGTCACTAGAGGTAAGGCTAAGAAGGATCCTATTTTTGTTTTTGTTTTTTGGAAGCAGTTCTTTTTTAATATTTATTTATTATGGATACAATATTCTGTCTGTGTGTATGTCTGCAGGCCAGAAGAAGGCACCAGACCTCATTACAGATGGTTATGAACTACCATGTGGTTGCTGGGAATTGAACTCAGGACCTTTAGAAGAGCAGGCAATGTTCTTAACCCCTGAGCCATCTCTCCAGCCCCAGGATCCTATTTTTGTAGGGAACCTGTAGGATTTCCAAAACAGTCTCAGAGGCACCACCATTCAAGGCTGCAGCTTCAGGTTGAAGCGACAGGCGTGATGGCATTCTATGCAGGCTCAGGACCGCCAACTAACTCAGCTTTCACTGTCACAGGCCAAGCCCACCCTCCCCAAGGCGCCCTGTTGTCTAAGATAGAAGACGGTGTGAACAAGTCAGGAAAGCTCGAAGAAAAGCCTCAAATTGCTATCCAGGAAAACGCGGCCTATGATAAAAATCTGAGTGGAGATTGCTTCAAATACAGAAAGTCTCTATGAAGATATCTCTAACAATCCCATTGAACAGTGCTGTGAACTTGCTGCTTTAAGTGGGCTGGATGATAGCCTAATACTTCATGGTAAGGCTATTTTTCTAGAAATTAACAGGGATGGTGTATGTTTTAAGGACTTCAGATATGCAATTGTGCTCAGTATAAGCACCACATTGGTGATGCACTATAACACTGACAAGAATAAAACCGAAGTTAAATACAGATGTTTTGAGGAAGATATGATCAACATGCATTGTTTACATGTATGAGGTTGTCTATTAAAAGTACATGCAGGATATTACATTTTGAAGCAGTTACCTAGTGGAAACAGATATCAAACCAAACGCTTTCAAGGCTATCTTAATTATCAGAGATGACTCAAGTTTTGTTTCCCTTTAGCCTCCTTTGAGCCACAGTTGGAGACGATCAGTGACGGTCAAAGCCATTTGTTGGCCGTTGGTGCAGCCTGCCGTGAAGCTGTGCGCCATTCCGCTGGAGCGCAGCTTGGCACCCAAACAGCCAGATCCTCAGACATGCCAAGAGAGGCTGGCAAGTGCATTTAGAATTATCTGATGGCTGAATCTGAAGGTAAATAATGGAGATTATTTACTCTGGAAGCACGCACAACATCATTTACATCAACTCAATGATATGCATAATTTAAATGTGCCACAGGGTGTTCAGACTCAGATTATCCAGCATCTAGATCTGTCTTTAATGCAGTTAGGGATGTGGAATGTGAAAATTCACATTAGCTCACAATCTGTGACAAAGTAACTGTGTTCAGAACAATGAAACAGTCATTTTATTAGGAAGGTTAAGAGACTGTTTGTAACAGATGGTAACTTCTTATTGTTCTTTGTTATAAAAATCACAATTTACACAAACAGTCTGCAAATGGGATGAAGGAGGGCTTTGTCCTACTGACAACAAACTTAACCTTCAGGATCTCGGCTATGTTTTTCAACAGTTTATTCCTGGATACAATGAGCTTTCATAGAAATACACGTGACAATTTAAAAAAAAAATCCTGTTAAGAATGACACAAACCAAAGCTAAGAATGTAAATTAAGAGGCCAAACCAAATTAGTCTAATCCTTTTGGCATTGGCTGGTTAAAAGGCAACCGTAGCACCTATACGTCTCAGACGTGGGGTGTGTGTGTGTGTGTGTGTGTGTGTGTGTGTGTGTGTGTGTGTGTGCGCGCACACACACACATATATAACACTCAAAATTACAAAGACTTTGAAATTGCCATAAGGATTTGAAGAAAACCTCAGTCTAAAATTCCCCATCACCCCACCCCTCTTACTATTGCTACAGTTTCTGACGCTTACCCCCTTTGTTGCATCTGCACCTTGAGAGGAACCACCTGCTGGTCCCTGGTACCTCCTCAGCTTCTTCCAGTCAGAACAACCAGGCAAGCTCAGGTTCACCCTAGCTTGCGGCTGCCATGAGAAGACATGTGTCTTCAAGGCCCTGTGTTTGCTGGCTCAGAACCAGTGAGGGGATTCTGGATCCAGCAAACATCACCACCCTGGGCAAGAATGGCCTTGCTGTCTTTTCTTCCTGTCGTACTGGGCCAGGCAATGTAGTTAGTCCTCCACCGACCATACCCATTTCCTGCTTGACCAAGGCCCTGGCATTCTGCCTACTAGTACCTGTCAATAAATGTACAGGTGAAAACACAAGAACTGATGGAAATAGACAAAATGATGCTGCTTTATTATTTTAGATCAATCTGCAAACATTGGAGCCTCCTATCACCTAGCACTAGCAGAAAATATGAACTCAAAAAGTAGCCTTTGACATGGGTAGGCAGAGTATCCCCACTTCTCTACCTCCCCCATCAACACTTGAGGCAGAAGGGAGAGCTGTCCCCATTACTCATCTGTCAGTGGCAGCGCAGGTGGCAGAGAGATCCTCCCCTCACCAAAGCCTAAGAAGGCAAATGGGAAAGCTGGCCCATTATTCACCTGTCAGGTGGTGGCATGAATGGAGGAGAGACCCCACCCTCAGATGGCAGAGCTGGCCCTAAGGTCATAAGAGCAGGGGAGTTATCCCTGCCCCTCCTCAGTTGCTGTACTCAGAAGAGTGGCCCCT